TGCCAAATCAAGAAAGAAGATTAAATTATTAATTAGTAGATGACATCCCCCAAGGGGTCCCAGATTGTGAGAGGGTGCAGGAGGGACCACAGAAGGGCTCCAGGTTAAAACTGTATGCTGTATTGTCTGAGGCAGAGGTCCTCAAACTTTTTAAACAGGGGGCCAGTTCACTGTCCCTCAGACATTCCACACATGCGCACTGCGGGCCCGGGACAAGTCGGCTGCTAAGCAGGACAGGCAGCGGCGGCAAAAACACCCGGTGGGCCGGATAAATGTTTTCGGCGGACCAGATGTGGCCCGAGGGCCATAGTTTGAGGACCCCTGGTCTGAGGTAATCATTAAAATAATTTTAAAAGTATATTTAATTTCTAAGCTATTAGAAGATGAAACAAGAACATTTAATCAATCCAAAAGAAGGCAAAATAGGAGAGAAAAGGAACACAGAATAGACAGAAATAGAGCTTTAAAATATTGTAGATTTAAATCCAAATTATAGTAATTTTGTTACTTTTGTATGAACCATAAACTCAAATTAAAAGACAACAACTGAGGGAAAATTATGAAACAAGCTAAAGATAGGGTATAAAAAGACATAAAAAACATAGGAACCAAAAAGATTTATGTAAAAGATACTAAAAAAAAAAAAAAAAGCTATGTAAATACTAACCAGAAGTGATGTACCTATGTTAATATAAGATAGCTTAGAATTTAAGGGACAAAGCCTCACTAAGTATAAAGAAAAGACATTCCATAGGCATAAGTTTCAATCCATGACAAAGGTGTTACAATTGTACATTTGAATGCAGTTGGTACAGCTCAAAACTTCTTAAGGAATATTGACTGAATTTTTTTTTTAAAGTAGCCAATTATACAAATGTAAGTAAAGATTTTACAAACTTTATCCTAGTAATTAATAATTTAAAAATCGCCCTGGATGTTGTTGCTCAGTGGTTAGAGCATCGGCCAGTGCGCCAAAGGGTCACGGGTTCAATTGCTGGTCAAGGGCACATACCTGGGTTACAGTTCACTCCCTGCCCTGCCCAGGGTGTGTGTGGGAGGTAACCAAAGTGTCTCTCTCACATCAATATTTCTCTCTCTCTCCCTCCCTCCCTCCCTTCCTTCCACTCTGAAAAGCAATGTAAAAATATCCCCAGGTGAGGATAAAAATAAAATTAATAAGCATATATATTATTAAGAGTATAATAAGCGATCTTAGTGTAAATGTACAGACATAGAAAACAGATTTCAATAAGTACAAAAAAATACAATATTTTCAAATTGATTTTTATAAAAACTCACTAAATCATGGCCAATAAACAAATGTCAAAAAATTTCAAAGAGGATACAGATGCCAGCAGGTTTCTAGTGTTTGGTCTAAGTCAGTGGTTCTCAACCTTGGCTGACCTGGGAGTCTTTTTAAAATCCTGATTTCTGGGCCTCATCCTCCGGAAATTCTGTTTCTTTGTTATGGGGTGGGGCCACAACATTAGTAACAAAGAAACAGAATTTCCGGAGGATGAGGCCTAGAAATCAGGATTTTAAAAAGATTCCCAGGTGATTCTAATGTGCAGCCAAGGTTGAGAACCACTGGTCTAAGTGGTGGCTACACATGTATTCACGTGTTTATAATTCTGTCTGTATGTTACATGGCAATAAAATTATCAAAATTCAAACAAACTTTAAACTCTGTAGTTTATAGATGTATGCTTGGGTGGCAAAACAAAACACAAGGAAATAATTAGCATAAAAGTTGGGTCAATAGTTTCATATCAGGTGTAGAAATTTGGTAGTGTTGTGATGGCCACAAGAGGCATTGCGGGTGCCAGTAAAATCATACCTGCATAGGGGT